AGAGACTGAGGACAAGGTCGGGGTAGTGTGCATGGATTAGAGTCCTACTTTCAAAAGCAATCAGAGGATGCCAAGCAATAAGACTCAGGCACATTGACCTTGTCAAGAGGTCAGGAATAGAAACTGTCCCTCCCTTTTTGTTTTGAAATAAAATGCTTATTCTGTGCCATTGTGTGTTGGGACTATGTGCTTGCTTTTTTTTTTTTTTATTATTTTTACAGGGACTCAATTACAAGAGTTTGCTCAAATGAGACCTTGGACTTGAAAATTTGAACAATATGGGGCTCTTAAGATCTGGGGAACCTTTGGAAAGGGACCAGATACATTTTACACTAACAGGTCATGGTATTTGGGGGGCTAGAAAAGGATGTTATCGGCTTCTCATGAAATATCCCCCACAGGCTCATATAATAAGGGTTTGGTCCCCAGCCAGTGGCTCTATTCTGTGGAGTGGTGGGAACCTCATGAAGTAAGGCTTCACTGCAAAACTAGGTCACTGGGGTGTACAGGGTGTACCTTTGAAAGTCTGACCTAGTCCCAAGGCCTCATCCCCTTTACTTTCCTTATCTGTTGTAAAGTAAATAGTCCTTACCACATGCTCCCACTGCCTGGTATGCCATCACTCTACAGTAACACAGAGCCACGTGACCACTGACTGGGCCCTCTGAAACTGTGAGCGAAAGCAAGCTCTCCCTTCAGCTGCTCTGCTATCATGGCAGTGCCGAAGTCTGACCGACAAGGAGTCTGACCGACAAGGATGGAGACACCACTCCCCCCACCTCCTCGCTAGCTAGCATGAACAGTGTTTTGACATTCCAAAACATGCTTTAAACTTTATGTTTTCAACATCTCTGAACTCTGGATGTGGCATACAGTTTAAGGCACTATTACAGGTGGCTGCTTCCCTCCTGTTAGCTTACCACAGAAATGAGCAAACAATGGGTCCTGAGGTCAGATGGAATGCCTCTTTCAGTTTAATGGTTCTCTTTGCTGTCTTCCAGGAAGGAGAAACCATACAGTTGGGATATTGGGTTCTTAATGAACCTTCTCAAGTTCTAGCATATAGTATACACTGTCTGATGCCCTGGTGCCTCACCTTGGAAACTTCCTGTGTCTCTATAGTTCTGATCCCCCTGCATAACAACTGCTTGATCACTATGTTCCCAATGTCAGGGTTGTTTAGAAATGAGCATTTCTTTTTCCTCATGCTCCTTTCTGTGAGCATGCTTGTATGTTTGGAATGGATTGGAGGGTCACACTGCTTACCTATAAGGTCCACCTGGAGGTTAAAGGGCAGAGCTGTCTTGGGTATTGGCTCTAGAGACGATACATCTATTGCTGACTGGTAATGATGATAATAACATCATAGTAACAATGGATTCATATTATTTAACCCAATGACAGTGATGCTCAGGAAGCATGGAGTGGATTGTGGAGGCTCCTTGGCTTCCTGATATTTTTACCTATTTTTCTTCTTCTAATAATAAAACAAGCCCTTAATTACAGTGTAAAACCCAATGCCATTGTGGCCATCAGAGTCCTTCTAGGACCTTGAAAGAGATGTTTTCTCTCAGGGCCTTCCATAAAAGGCTGCCTGTGGCTACCTTCTGCATCCCTGAAAGACTTAGAAGAACGAAGAGCTGTGGAAACAGAGATGAGGCCAAGACACACTGCCTGGGTCATCTCATGCCGTGGGGTGTCACAGCTAGCCTTTGCCACTGGAGCAGAGTGGGTGCTTTCTTCTCTGTGTAGCTGAAACTGTGTCCTGGAGTCGGCACGCTATGAGGCATTTTGACCCCCACTTTAAACCACTCCCCAGCTTAACTGGTCTTTTTGGAAGTTATTTTCAGGAAAGAAAAAAGAAAGACAGGAAGAAAGACAGAAAGAAAGGATGATTCAAGTTTGAGATCCTGGGAGGATGAAATGTCCCCTTCTGTATTGTTGACTGAGAAGAGATTTCTAGGCTGAGACCCACAAGTTGGTTGAGAAATTATGACGTTATCCCAAAGCCTCAACTTGGATGCTTGGTCAAGAGAAAACAGAACCCCATGTTTACACAGATCAGAAATACATACCAGTGCTTGTGATTTATCTGAAGTCGTCTCCTCTCAACCCTCTCCCTCACTCACCCATCCCCCTGACAGACTTTCTTTGTGCAGCCCTCTGTGTCCTAGAACTTGTTCTGTAGACCAGACTCACAGAGGACCCCCTGCCTCTGCTTCCTGAGTGTTGGGATTACCAGTGTGTGATGTTGCTGTTGTTGCTGTCACAACCCCCCACCCCCCACCCCCACCCCTTTATTCCCACCCCCCACCCCACTCTCACCACCCAGTTTATATGAAGTTTTTATTGAGGACTATGCCCTTCAGTGGCACCTGTAGCATAAAAGCCCAGGTGTCCAGGCACATTCGTTTGTCATCTTTGATAAGAGCCTATCTCCCTGACACCATCTGTCCTACTGGTTCCTCTACTTTTTGAGGCATGTCCCAGAGCAGGAGCTGCAGCCAAGGACACCATTTGTTGTGGCAGGCAGCCATGCACATGATGATCTAAAAGCTACGTAGCATTTGTTAGACATGAGGCCTTAGCCTTGCTTTACATCTTGTTTTACACATTAAGATGGCAGTTGACTCGGTTTGCAGATAGCTTCTACCTACCTTCTCTAATCCTGGCAGGGATGCTGAGAGGCTCAGGATGTAACCAGGTGGGAGACTAGTACAGGTGGTGGTTCCAAATCACTAGACAGGGCCCTGCTAAAGCTGAATGCTAAAAGGTTGCCACAAGCTTTCTTTGGAAGAGCTTCTTATGGTTTGCATGTGTCTCCCCAAAGTGCATGTGTTGCCAATTTAACTTCTCTGGGTAGTGGTGGTACCTAGAGGGAGCTTCTAGATACTGGAAGCAAAGAATGTAATGTATTAATGGTTCTCCCGAGTATGTTCTGCTCTAATGGCTATGGCTGCCCCATCCCCTCTCTCTCCTCCCAGGAGTTGGCATCATGTTCTTGGAGGACTTTCCTGCCTCTTGAACTATGATCCCACAGAAACTCATTGTCCCCTTGCTAAATGGATCAGTCTCCAGCATTTCATTAGAACATGAGAAAAACAAACCAAGACAGGCATGTTGGACCAGTGGAGCTCTGAGAAACCAATGGTTATTAGTAAACTGAGACACACTTGCCCCACGGCATCACAGGTCTGAGTACCAGACCATGGTGTATATAAAATCTCATTGAGAAAACACCGAAAAAGTTACTGAAAAGACTTACAAAAAGGCATTTTCTTAGCAGGCCAGCCATTTTATTGAAAGATGTTAGACTCTCTTTCAGACACCTTCATTACGTTTCTTTATAATGTCATCAGTTATTTTAATGTCCGCTGTGGGGCGATTTCCACTGGCCTCACTCCTGGCCAATTCAAGGGCAAAGAGGTGAGCATATTGTTTCTTTGTGAGTCTTATAATCCTCAGTCATGAAAACAAAAAAGCAACAAATCCTTCCAGCTGATTCAAAACGTATTACACTTATGTGCACGCGGGTGAGTGTGTGTGCTTTGGCACAGACATGGAGGTCAGAGGATTACTGTGCCCCTTGTACCCTGTGGCATCTAGCTCAGGTGGTCAGGGTTGTTAGCAAGCGCTGTTAGCTGTTGAGCCTCTCTGAGCAAAATTTGCCCCCATGCAAATTTTGTTTTGTTTTTGTTTGTTTGTTTGTTTGTTTTGTTTAGCAAGAAAGACATCGTTGGGCCTCTTAAGGGTGCTTTTACTCTATATAAACCTGTATGAGGGATTTGGAGTGGGACTTTGTGAGTTCAAATCTTGTCTCCACCTCTAAGAGAACATTGTGATTCGCATAGTAGTCCCATAATCGCTCTGAATCTCTTTATTTGTAAATGAGACAATAACACAGTGTTGGAGGTGGGTTATCCGGAGATCACACCAATGGCCTGGAGCTACAATTCTTCCTTGGTTAATTAGAAGCATTCTATCTCTTAGGTTGTCTTTTCTAGAGCCTAGCAGAAACCTTGTTCTCTCAGGTGTTTTGAAAGCCGATATGCTTTGACCAGTATAAACAAGAACAGTTGCTTCCCAGGCCATTTGAAGACTCTGGCTTTCTCTTTGAAGAAAGCTTCTCCCTTGGCTAGTTTGAGAAACAGGCTGAGTGAGTGGGGGTCGACAAGTTGGCTGCGACAGAGCATCCTTCGGGCAGGCCCCGCGGGAGCAGCTGTGCGTGCGCCGCCGAGGGTGGCGGCGGCAGGCACCCCGCCCTTGGCCGCCGCCTCGGCGTGTCAGGTGTCGTGAGAAGCGCGGGAGGGGCGGCCGCGAGCAGCGCCTAGGGAGATGACTGGAGCCGACTTCCCAGAAGCGGCGCACGCAAGGCACAGCTCCGCACGCAAGGGGGAGGCGACAGCAGAAACTTTTCAACCCAACCGTTTGCTGGCTTTCAGAGTTGCCTCCTCCTCCCACTCACCGCCCCCGTCTCGGGTCTGGCGCTCCAGGACTGCCTCCAGCGCCCAAGCTTGGATCACTGCCTGGGGCGACCTGAGCTGACACGCGTGTCCAGCAGGTGGCGGAGTCCCGGTCGTTTCAACGCGGGAAGCCTAGCCTTCTGAGAGCTTTGTGTGCAGAAGGACGGGTGCACGCCTTGGGGTGGGGGAACTTTCAAGGTTTCTAGATCTCAGAGGTAGAAAGAGATCTGTGCACACAAAGGGCCACGGCTGTAGGGCCAAATGCTTTGCAAAACCTTAAGACAAAGATAAATGCAAGGCAAACCAAGCTGCACTGTTCTGAAAATGGCAAGTTTCTTTTCCTGGCTCGGTGCCTAAGGATCGTGAGCAAGGAACCAAACTCGAGTCACCTAGAGAAGGAGGGCGTAGCGCTTTGCTCCAGCGCGCAGAGGCGTAGGAAACTCTGTCCCAAGCTCGGTTCTGGGGAAAGCGTGGGGGTCTTGACTGGGGGATGACTGACGACAAGCCGTTATCGCCAAAGGAAAACTTTACAAGGCGGTTCCTAACAAAGCTGCCAGCTATTGTTCCAGGACGGTCACAGCCCGCGGCGCGGACTTCCCACTGGACCACCCTGGGTCACCCTGAGCACGGACATGAGATCCAAGTCGCAGATCTGTGGACTTTCGCAGTGCGTCCCGCCCCTCACGCCCCACCCCCTAAGGCCCCCGCTTCCTACAGTCTCTATCCAGTCCTTAAAACCCCCTAGTAGAGGGATGGCGCGTCGCCTCTGGGGTGCGATGCAGACACCTCTGCGACGCCAGCTTGAAAGCCGCCTGCGGGTTGGGATTTAATTCCACTTTATCAACTCCCAACCCCCACCAGTCTCAACCTCAACTCCAACTCCGTGAGAAAGCCCTGACTGCTGAGCCCCAGGTGCAGACTTGAGACACTTTTTTTTTCCAGTCCTTCATCCTAATCTAAGTTTAGGCTTTGACTGAGCCAAGAGTGGGTGCTAAAGCAGCGGGCCTCAGGTGTCTAGGCCTCCAGGTCCCTGGGGACTCTCAGGTTGAAGCCTCGCAGAGTCTGGGCAGAGGCTCCAGAGCGTCTCCCAGACCCCGGTGCTCTACACCGCGGGAAACCACGCTTCATCGCAGGTCAGTCTGTCCGCGGAGCCGCCTTCCCCAGGCCTCTTCAGAGCAGTTCTTGAAGATCAGGGTTGGGGTATTAGGTACTTTAAAAGAAACCTGCCTCTGTCTGCCACCCACCGGCATTGTGTAGGAATTCTGGGAACAGTTAGGCAGCTGGGGATTTGGAAGCTGGTATGTCTCTGCTGAAGGCTGGGTTGGGTAGGGAATGTAGTTTTAAGCATCTTGCCCAGAAAGTCAGCCTTTACCTGAGCTATGCAACGCATCCTCTCTATTCAACCCCAACCTGTAGCCCCACGCTGTGACAGAGACGCGGGGTTGGGGGGCACTCTTATTTTTCCTTTGCACACCTGAGTTTTACGTTTTGCCTTTGTGTCCCCAGCATGGCCACCAGCCTTAGTGCAGACAGTCCACAGCAGCCGAGCTCGCTGTCTAACCAGCAGACCACTCTTCTGCTACTCCTTTCCGTCCTGGCCGCCGTGCACTTAGGCCAGTGGCTGCTGCGACAATGGCGACGGAAACCGTGGTCCTCGCCCCCAGGTCCCTTTCCTTGGCCACTGATCGGAAACGCGGCGGCTGTCGGTCAGGCGTCGCACTTGTACTTCGCTCGCCTTGCAAAGCGCTATGGCGACGTTTTCCAGATCCGTCTGGGCAGCTGTCCCGTGGTAGTGCTGAATGGCGAGAATGCCATCCACCAGGCTCTGGTGCAGCAGGGCGGCATCTTCGCGGACCGGCCGCCCTTCGCCTCTTTCCGTGTGGTGTCTGGTGGCCGCAGTCTGGCGTTCGGCCATTACTCTGAGCGCTGGAAGGCGCAGCGACGCGCGGCCTATAGCACGATGCGTGCCTTCTCCACGCGCCACCCGCGCAGCCGCGGTCTCCTCGAGGGCCACGCGCTGGCAGAGGCTCGAGAGTTGGTGGCAGTGCTGGTGCGGCGCTGCGCGGGCGGCGTCTTCCTGGATCCGATGCAGCCGATCATTGTGGCGGTGGCCAATGTCATGAGCGCTGTGTGCTTCGGCTGTCGGTACAACCACGACGATGCCGAGTTCCTGGAGCTGCTCAGCCACAATGAGGAGTTCGGGCGCACGGTGGGCGCCGGCAGCCTGGTGGACGTGCTGCCCTGGCTCCAGCTCTTTCCCAACCCGGTGCGCACCACCTTCCGCAAGTTCGAGGAGCTCAACCGCAACTTCAGCAACTTCGTCCTGGACAAGTTCCTGAGGCACCGCGAAAGCCTGGTGCCTGGGACTGCTCCTCGAGATATGACGGACGCCTTCATCCTCTCTGCCGAAAAGAAGGCGTCCGGGGGCCCTGGCGACGATCCCTCCGGGCTGGACTTGGAGGATGTGCCTGCCACTATTACGGACATCTTCGGAGCCAGCCAGGACACCCTTTCCACCGCGTTGCTGTGGCTTCTCATCCTCTTTACCAGGTAAAGCCTCCAAGAGGGATGGATCGGATCTTGTTTTCCTCCTTTGAAAAAAGGAGTGCAGCTAAGTTTCGCCCGGCGTCGCCCCCTCCCCAGCCCCCCATTCCTTGAAGCTGAGATCTCAGGTAAGATAAGGTGGGTTCAGCTGGGCAGGCGGAGATGCGCTCTCCCTCCAAGAGTTGCCAGGACTTACCAGCATCTCTGATGTTGTGCTCCATTCCTTATCCCCCTCCCCCCGTGACAGGGAACAAAGTTATGGAGAGCCCTCCAAAACAAACAAACAAACAAACAAACAAACAAACAAACAAGAGTTTTACCGTGCTGGCAGATCGGCTTTGATCCTTCCGTAAAGCAATAGAAGCAAAACTGGACCGGTTCCAAGGTTAGGGGAGGCGCAATAAAACATTAACTAAACTCAGCGCGCAGCGGGTACCGGGTATCAGGTACTGGGGAGGCTGTCCACCTCAGGCCCTACTTCCAGCTTCCGAAGAATAAGGTTTAGCCCGAGGCGGTTGCACCACAAAAAAAAAAAAAAAAAAAAAAAAAAAAAAGCAGGCGGAGTCACTTCTGTAGTGTGTGCTCGGCACCTAGAGAGGAGTTCCGGTGCTGGTGAGAGTCCTGATTGATCTCTGGGTCAGGGAGCAGACCTCTACAGCGCTCACTGCAAGACTGCACAGAATTAAGCACCACCCCACCTCCTTCCCGCACTCGGGTAGTCTAAGCAAATGAATCCTTTATGGGAATTTGACGATTATCTATTGTTTACCTGGAATTCAGATTCACCCTGTATTTTATCTAGAAGCACTACTTTTCTTAGAGCCTAAGGCAGTGGTTCTCAACCAGTAGGTTGCTCGACCCCTGTCGCCTAAAACCATAGGAAAACAAAGATACACTACGATTCTAACAGTAGCAAAATTACAGTTTTGAAGTAGCAACGGAAATAATGTTATGGTTGGGGGGGGGGGTCAGCGTTAGGAAGTTGTGAGAACCACTGCCCTAAAGGATGCTGAAGATGCACTCGCCTACGAATTTGGCACACTGGGTCCTTTTCCTACTGGAATTCACATAATTCGTATTTCTTTAGATCCACTTTCACGTTTTAAAAGTATATTTAAAATAACTTTTCAATACTAAAGTCAAATCGTGGAAACATATATTGGACTATTGGGGTGAGGGGGCAGAGGAGGCAGAAATCCTCATTACGGGCATTGAACCCAAGATCAGGTTAGGTCTTCCTAGAGAGCGATGCAGGGCTTTCACATCCCAAGATAAGCAGGTACTCTTTAAAAAATAATTTTTTTATTGAACTGTATAAGTTATTCTCCATGTGTTCCAAAGAAATAAAACAATTTCAGGGTCATTTTCAATGACATAAAGGTGACATTATTTTTCCTTTTTGTGAAAAGGCGATCTAACCAGAGTGAGCAAATGACAATGGCTGTTTAGATATAAATTTTATTGATGCAGCCACAGCTGGTACACCATACATGGTGTCTGCTTTCACACTCTAGGACAAGCTGCAGCAGTTGAGGGACAGTCTGCCCCGTAAGGTCCAAAATGCCTATGATTCGGCCCTCAGTGGAAAATATTGGGAAGTTCTGTTAAGCGGTTTTTAAACCACCCATTGTTTCACAATTTAAGATACTTATTTTCAGTGGTTGTAGTTCTTCCTCACCTGGTCCTGCCCCCGTTTTGAGCCTTCTACCTATTGCAGTGGACACTTCCTCACCTTATAACGTTGATTTCAGTATGTATTCTCTTTTAAATTTTTATCTATTTTTGTGCATCCGGATGTTTCCCCTGGGTGTGTACGTCTGTGTACCTGGTGCCAGAAGGTGTCTCCCTAGGGATTAGAGTTACAGACTTCAGTGAGCTATCATGTGAGGGCTGGAAATCAGTCTCAGGTACTCTGCAAGAACAACTGGCGCCCTTAACCACTGGGGCGTCTCTCCAGCCCACGTTTTAGCAGTTTCGATGACGACATAATACCTTGCAATATGCATAGATACAATCGGGTTCGAGTTCTAACATTGACTAACGGTCTTGGCTGTATTTGTAAGTTTTGAGCATTCCTATGATTATGCACCATTATCCCTGTTAAGCCATTGTCTGAAAATGGGCTTCTGGGCATAAAATACCGGGTTTAAAAATGTGAGGCCAAGGGATTGCCTTTATAGAGTTTGCTGTGAAGGAAGGTTTTGAGTTTCAAAAGAATTGTCCCTACTCCTAGCAGCAGCACTGTAGACCTATGGTGGGTACCCCGTCTGACAAACTGGGGCTTTGCTTTTTAAGTTTAGGAAATGTGTAGCATTATCTATCAGGAGACCAATAATACTTTATAAAACAGGAACAAGGAATTGTCTAAGGATATGAGGGAAGAAAAATAACTTGCTTTCAGGGTAGCATTTTAACTTTTGTGGGTCCAGAGTCCTTTTGACTTTGTAAAATTCTTTATAAAACATTGAAAATGTATTTTATAACTACACTGGTATAAAATGAACATGTTAAAATGTGTGTGTGTGAGCATCTAGCTATAACGCCATTTGTTTAGGTCTGTAGGTTTTAAAAGATAGATATTTTCCTGGGTGTCTAAAATATATACTTTTGTGTATTTTTAGACTATTAAAAACTGGAGTTTTATTTTCTCACAATTGGAAATAAATCCTAGGCCACAAGAGGCTTATTATAGAAAAATACAATTATTATTGTTTAACTTGTAATACTGAGTGAGAGAAATTAGTAACCTGTTTTATACTTTCTTTCAGAAATTGTAATTTGATCACAGACTAGATACTTTAAAATAGAAGTGCAGTGTGGAAAGATGCCTCACAAGGGGAAAGATGAACTGATTTTGTCTCTCTCTCTCTCTCTTTCTCTCTCTCTCTCTTCCCCCCCCCCTTCCGTCCCTCCTTTCATACTAAAATCGAAACAGGTATCCGCATGTGCAGGCCCGAGTGCAGGCCGAGTTGGACCAGGTTGTGGGGAGAGACCGCCTGCCCTGCATGAGTGACCAGCCCAACCTGCCATATGTCATGGCTTTTCTTTATGAATCAATGCGATTCTCCAGCTTTTTGCCTGTCACCATTCCTCATGCTACCACCGCCAACGCCTTTGTTTTGGGCTACTACATCCCCAAGAATACCGTAGTTTTTGTTAACCAATGGTCTGTGAATCATGACCCAGCAAAGTGGTCTAATCCAGAGGACTTCGATCCAGCCCGCTTCCTAGACAAGGATGGCTTCATTAACAAGGCACTAGCCAGCAGTGTGATGATATTTTCAGTGGGCAAACGGCGGTGCATTGGCGAGGAGCTGTCTAAGATGCTTCTGTTTCTCTTCGTCTCCATCCTCGCTCATCAGTGCAATTTCAAGGTTAACCAAAATGAGCCCTCAAACATGAGTTTCAGTTACGGCCTGACCATTAAGCCCAAGTCGTTTAAAATCCATGTGTCTCTCAGAGAGTCCATGGCGCTCCTTGATAGTGCTGTTCTAAAGCTGCAAGCTGAGGAAGCTGGCCAGTGAGAGGCCGGAGGCAGGCAAAAGGTTTGAAATAAACCCATTTCATTAGCCAGGGAGAAAAATACAGATTCCCCCCCACCCCAGCTTCATTTTGGTTTCAGTTCTCAAAAGTGAATGGAAATCAAGTGGTCTGAAGGCGAGACATGCTTACCAGCTCACGTTCCTCATGGGCCTGTGCCGGAGTTCCTGGAAGTATTTTGGAATTGAAGAGTAAAGAACCCGAGGAATTGGGGATCTGTTTCCTTTTTCTTTTTTTCCAATTAAACACATGCGCACATATCCACAAGTATGCACAACTATCTAACAAAGTATTTCAGTAACTCTGCCTTTTTGGGTAGAGAGGGAACTTCTATGTGCAGAAATTGGCTCCATAGGAAACTGCAGTAAGCAAAGGCTTAGGATATACTCAAGATTCAAAGACAAGTCATTTCAGTGTAAAATGTAAAGACCAGAAATTCTCCTACTAGAAGACAGTTTGCTTAGAGAAATGCTTCAACTTCTTCGTGGCCCTGGATGAGGCTTTCTTTCTGCCTGTAGATGTGTCCCCCACTTTAGAATGGACCATAAAGTCAGTTGCTCCCCAAGAAAAAGGAGAAAAAGATTTGCCAGTCTAGCTTAAGTTTTCAGTGTTGGGACTGTAGTAAACTGGTCTCAGTAATAAGTCTGATAAACTAAAAAAAAAAAAAAGCCTCATGTCACCAAATAGTATTCAATGCATATAAAAATTTACATAATTATTCATAAACATTGTATGAATATTAACTATTCAATCAGGAAAACACTTGAATGATATATTTCTTATGTCATACTGCAAATCAAAAAGTATAATCAGTTGAATGAAATTTTCCCAAATCCAGGAAATGAGCCTGACTAAATCACTCTGTTTTGACATCAGGGTACCAAGTAACAGAAAGATCTTTTCTTATTTACAGTTCATACAAGGGACAAATCTCAAAACTAAACCAGCAAAACATGTTCTGATCTGGTAACTGTAGTTACAACACAGATGCTTCTCTTGGAATTGACCCCATTATTAATATGTTAAGATTCCAAACACGTGGCTTGCTTCGATTTTAAATTACTTTAAAATCTGTCTTGATTGTTTCACTTCAGTTGAAGCTAGAGAAAATATGGTCATTATCCCACCCACAGAAGGTGACACACCTAACCTTTGCCTAAGGACAGATACCAAATACAAAAATAAATAAATAAATAAATAAATACAGGCCATGAATGTTCTGGGTGTTAATATTAGAGGCCACGTGTTAGGAAACTCAGTACAACTGGTAGTTGGTAGTTTCTTTTTATGCATTATTACTATTGCTGTTGTAGTTGTTTTTTGAGTCTTAAGGTCTGTGTGTGTGTTAAGTCAGAATCTGAAGATTGTCTTGGGAGGTTGTTTAGCAACTGCTTCTTGAGACAGCAGAACTGGCTAACATTGGCTTTCTTATTTAGGATGGCACACTAGGAGCAGCTACTTCCTGGAGGCTGAGGGAGGAGAAGTATATGTATTTGGATTATGTAAACCAACTGAAAGTCCTTTAAAAAGGGCTGGATGAGTGGTGACATGGGGACAGGGCCCATGGGGGTTTCCCATCTCTGTTTTCATTGCAATTAGATGGAACAAAAGCAGCCCACAGCACGCAGAGAGCCTGCTGTCGGCTCTGTTTCATTAGACTTCTTGGGATTTGTGTATCAAAATTACAAAGGAAGGAGTGTGTGATGCTCTTTGTGTGCAGAGGCCAGAAGCTGCAAGACAGAGAAAGCAAGAGCCAAAGAGAGATGTCTAAATGGTCCCCATTCACCCCAAATTAATTTCCTGAACTATAAAATTTGAGGCATGAATGTTTAGAAAAAAAGGAGTTTCGAGTGGCGAGCCTTACCTTCCAGTGTCTCTTAAGAGTGGCTGGAGCCCTGGCCCTCGTCCTCTCTCTCCCCCATTCACATCCATTTTGTAGTTGAAAATTGAATTATTAAAAATCTAACGTAATCCTTATTTAAATTTCTCACATCACGTCCCCTTGAAAGTGAAACACAGGTCACTTGTGTCAGTATTTTAAAGGCCTTAATTTCAACTACAAAAATTAACTATGCAATAATTTTTAATTTTTTTCAGGCATTTTAAAAGCATGTACCTCAGTAAGGCTGGGGCAGTGATTTGAGCTTCCATGGCCTCTTTCTTTACTATGAGAAATTTATAATAGTGAAAGTCTTCATGTACCAATCAGGACTACTCATTAAGCCAACCAGACCCAGATGTTTTGTGAATGTAAGAGTCATTTTCATCTGATGTTTTCAGAAAAAGGAAAGTAAGGGGGTTACCTTTTTTAATATATTTAGAACCTAGTCAAAGGAAGGAGGATTCAAACCAGAAAAGAGTAATACTTGTCATATTTGGAAGCTCTAGTAGATTACTAGTTTAGTCAGAAAGCCTGCTTATATTTCTGCTACGGAGGGAACTTCTTTTGGTGGTCACCCTGTTCATCAGAGTATCCACCTCAGGTCAGGGCAGCAAAAGTATGTTTTTATTAAGTGCCTCATTTGTAAAGCTTGGACTTTGTTAGAATGCTGCTTCCCCTCCCCCCAAAAAAGAACCCAAAAATAGATGCCTCAGGTGCGTTTTATGGATTAATCAAAAGAGTTCACGCCCCAGAACTTAGCCTTTACCTGTGAAATCTTAGCACCCTCTTACGTATTCTCACCAGGGCTGTACTTGATGAAATAGATAAATCACCATGTATACTAATTAGTGTGTTTTTAGCTGTGGCACAATTGTATGATAAAAGGTGTATGTTACCAGGTGATTATAACTCAGCAAGAACCCCCTATTTACCTTCTTCTTCTGTTTTTATACTTTTTCATATATGTTCTTAATATGTATATCGCTGACGCAGTGCACACAGATCCTCTGCACACAGAATGAACTAACATGTAGCCTCTACCTTTGGATATACCAAAATTTTAAAATGTTCTGTCTTCATCATCTATCATGAAACATTGATACCTAAACAATAAAATCCACTGTCATAATTCTATGAAATTTCTTTTTGTGTTACAGGAAGTAGGGTCTAATTGGTCATTTATTTTTACTCTTATTATATGTCTTGCATTGAAACACTGTGGTATATGGCTCTATCAGCTCCTACATGTGTAAATTCAGCTTTCATACCACTATGTGGTATGCACCTGCCTTCAACATTGCTATATATCAGTGCATTACTGATATATATATATATATGATATATATATATATATATATGTGATATATATATCATATATATAAAACAGTCCTTACTGTTAAAAAAGAAAAAGAAAACATGCATTACAAGCATTTTATTTGATCATCTCATATTTTAGCCTGTTTTCCCTTTTATTTTTTCTAGTTTCTTTTTTTTCTTTTCTTTTTTTTTTTTACTCAGACAAGGTGATTTATTTCGATATCCAAAACACTTTATAAAATCATATAGAAAACCTGAAATCATCCTGTTGTCCTAGTTTGTGTTATCATTTTAGAAAATAACAGACTTGAAAAAAATATCCTTGTTCTATGTAAAGTATTCTTGCTGTCACCTATAGGAAAGGAGAGGAAAGATGTCAAGTAGAAAAGACAGGAAGTTTTAGCTGGCATCTGCCCAATCAAGCCCAGAGGTAAAGGCGAAGGCACGAAGATGCTAGTGTGTGGTCGGTGCCTTTAGTGACCCCGTCATTCTGAACAGATAGCCTGTTAGTCATCATTTTTGTCAGTTATCTCAAACCCTTCTGCTTCTTAAAATGATACAGTCGTTAAACAGGGCTGCCATTTGAGATCCTTTGCCAGGACTGCATCGAAGAGACCATTCCTGGCCCTGATGAGTAGCCCTGCGACCACATATGATACTGTGAAAATGTCCTATCCTGTGTACAAGTCCACAAATACCGAGGCACGGCCAGCATGCCATTAAAAACAACAATGGTTTCAGGGTTGGAAACATTGTCAACAACGCTGTCATGAACATCTAAGGCCCCAGGACTCAATGGCGGAGGGATGATATTTGAGAAATTACTCCAACAGAAGGACCCTGTGAGTACTTCTGCCTCAAACACATAGATTAGCTTGTCTGTGTTAGAAGTTTTCCTGACCTTGTCTGCTAGTTTTTTGAGGCTCTTGGTGAAATATATGCCAGCTCCATAAACTGGGTCATAAGATGCCGAGTATAGTCTGTGGAAGCCAACTCTGCACACCGCATTGCAGAACTGATGTGGGACCTGCTGAAACAACCTTTGGCTCCCAGATCCCCTTAGTGTCCTCTCTTCCATCATTTTCTTCTTCTCTTGGAAGGCAGCCAGCAGCATCTTATTGTCTATCTGTTCCACCTTCACAACCCACAAGTCACACTTTTCACACTGTTTCTCTTGGTTCTGAAGTTCCTGAGTTAAAGACACTGGGTATCGGTGAAATGTGTATGATTGTTCCATTTCATCTGGTTTTCCCTGCTGGTCAGTCCCCTGTCCTGCCACTGAGTCTCTCCACTTGGTGTCTCTTTCCTGCAGGTCTTTCTCTTTTTCTAGTTTCTTAATTCAATAGTTTTTCAGCAGTTATTTTTTTCTTTTTAGCAAATCCATGGTCTTTACATTATTAAACTTATAAAGACCGACAAAGAGTTAAACTTGTAATTGTGAAAGATTGAATTGAGTTCTTAACACGGTGGCTTAATGTTTCTGTTCCATCTGAAAAACACAGGCTACAGTTGCTTCCAGCAGCAGCATGTCGATCCTTTCTTTGATCGAGCAAATTCATTTATTTTTAGGATTTGTGCACCTTGATTAGTAAGAGTAACTGATGCCCAGTAAAATAGCACAGATGAGAAACTTCTCCACGCACTATGTGGAAATATTTTTCTGAGGATCTGTTTATTTGGGTAATGTGACACGGTGTCACAGGACCCATAGCCAGGGTCTCACTGTTCTGCACACATAGGCGGCAGGGCCCTGCAATGCCAGCGGTCCTCACGTCTTCCAGACAACCACTCCTGTTATTATAAAAACAGGAAAACAAGCAGGAAAGCCAAGACAGTGCTTCATGCCACCGAGACTTTGGCTGGGAGCATCAGTTTAGCAGCCCAAGAGGGATGGCTGTGAGTGGACTTAAGGAATAGTCACTCATTTGCCAGAGACATGATAAAAAGTTCTTGGAAAATGGTCATATCCATTAGGACAAGTAAGAGAAATAATTTTTTTAGGGGAGGGGAGCCTAAAATCTCCATGGTGTCAAGGTTTTTTGTTTGTTTGTTTGGGGGTCAGGAAGGGGGAGAGAGTAAACCCAATTAATCTAATAGAGTCCAGGCTTGATGCAGGCAGGAAGTGAAGGCAGCTCTGGGCATCAGCCAGGTGCACTCCCTGGAAGCTCAGAGAGGTTACTCTGGGGCACTCCACCTTTCTTCATGCGTGTTCCAGAAACTAACTGGCCTTTAACTCTCTCTTATTTGAGTTCAGTGAATCTTTGCTGTCTGTCTTGGATCTCTTAGTTACCCTTGGGAAAGGAGGAAAAAGAAGAAAAACTAAATAAATTTAGATACAAAAACAATTCTGTTTTATTTTGGATTAAAATATTAGGGGAGTATGGAGATAGTTCACTATGCAAAATGCAAGCATGAAGTCCTGCATTTGGACCCCAATACCCACACAAAAGCCAGGTGTGGCCGTGCCTGTCTGGAACCTTGGTGCTGGGGGATAGACAGGAATAAATCCAGGGGCTCCTCAGGCCAGAGCAGCTGGAACAGCGTGCTCTGGGTTCAGTGAGAGATCCTGTCTCAAATAATAAGGTGGAGCAGTGACTGAAGACATCCCAATGTTGTCCTTTGGCCTCCAAACACACCCACTCCAGCGGTTATGTACATACAGGCAAGGTAACAAAACACGTGGAAAATCCATGCAATCTCTAACCATCAATTTCTGCTTCTAACTCCTTTACCTGACAAGACAAGCATAAACTTGGAGGAGAAAAAAAAATGGTATTACTGCTTTTCAGCTTGTTTCTGGTAAGACAGTAAGAAATTGAAGGCAGGACTACGAAACATTTAGGAGTTTTGGATCAGAGTACTAAAATAAGCTTGAACACACTAGAGTATGGAGCTTCGTATCAGAGTACTAACGTAGCCTAAGCACGCTCTAGTCCGGCAGTCTAATGGGGGGCAATATACAAAATAATTTATAAGCATGCTCTTCTGAATGGTCCCTGAAAGCTGACTGCCTTGCCTTGGTACCGTCTATCTCTTCCCAACTGGCCTATGATTGGAGATAGAAGGTCCTTTGTCAGCCTTTGAGGCTGTGATCCTTAGTTACAGCAGTGCCCTTCCTCATGGGGGACATACTACTGCAAATTCACTCTAGTGGTTATATGTATTTTCTTTTTTTAAGAAGCAAGTAGGCACTAGGGGATGTGTGGAGCTCCCAAGATTCTCACCCAGTGCTGAGGGAAACATAAAGTGAGGTAGCATGACCGGACTCCAAGGCATTTGTCCTACAGAGAGGAAATAAGTACCTGCAGAAACTGTTCTTAAATGTTTATGGTGGCTCTATTCATAATTCACCCAAACTCAAAATGACTCTTCTTTCAAAGATGATTGTCAAGGTGAATGCGTTACAGCCACACACTAGGACGGGACTCAGCAATAAAACCCAATAACTGCATAAACACAGCACTGGACGATTATCAAGGAGTTGTGTTGGTTAAAAAAAAAGCCAGCCTCAGATGCCTGTGGTGGAACATACCTTTAATCCCAGCACTCAGGCTGCAAACACAGATGGATCTCAGAGTTCAAGGCCAGCCTGGTCTACAGGGTGAGTTCCAGGACAGCCAGGGCTACACAGAGAAACCCTGTTTCAAAAGACAAACAAAAAAAAAAAAAAAGAAAGAAAGAAAAGCCTCAAAGTGTCATCTGTATGATTCCACTCATGCAATAGCTCAGAGATGGAGAATGGTAGATTTGATTTTTCATTATGGAAATAGTTACATGGCCATATAAATTTACTATAGCTAAAACAAAATTTAAAAAGTTTTGAAAGGTAATTGGTGTAGGTTACCAGATTGCATGGCTACTATTTCTGCCTAAGCAACAAGATGGAAGCTCTGAGGTGGTGTGTGTGTGTGTGTGTGTGTGTGTGTGTGTGTGCACATGCGCACGTACGTGTATGCACATCAGATTCTCCAAGTTCAACAGGAAATGGGCCACTAGCCTTTGGGGTAGAACAAGTCAAAGAAATTTTATTTTGATGCCATCAGGGTGTTAACTGTGTACAAAACAGGCACTGTTATGGGCAGGGGGCTATAGAGGGAATGCCAGGTTCTGAGATCATGGAGCCAATAAACTTAGTGGGGTAAGTGGGTGGGTGGAGGTAAACATAACATTTCCAGTAAGTATGTGATACAATCAACAAACAGAGTGATGTGTGTGTGTGTATGAGTGTGTGTGCACTCATGTGTGTATGAAGTATGGGCATGTGTGTGCTTGTGTGTACGTGTGTGTGTGTATGAGTATGTGTATGGTATGTGCAGTTGTGTGTGTTCACATGTTAGGGGCTTGTTTGCAATGAATAGTCAGGAAAGGCTCTACAGGAGGCAACAGCAAGGGGCAAGCATTGAGTATGTCAGCTTCATCCTAAATCCTCCTCATGAAAGAAATGCAGACAGGGAGTCAGCAGACAGCACACTAATCACCCACAGCAGTAACAAAAAGGCTGGCTACACCCATTAAACTGATTTCATAGTCACTTAAAATTTGGGCAATTTGAAGTAAAATCTTGTGTGCACACCCTATGACAGATGTTGTGGGCAAGCCCTTAATACATCTTGGCTTCTGTCTTTGCCAAATGGCACTGGTGTGGTCCAGACCATTCCCTGAGTTCACTGGCTCATTCTGGAAAGGAAGATTCAGACAGCAGGCTTCAGGAGCTAATGTCCTTTTCAACATTGCTTTTAAAAGTACATGTTATGGTGGATCCTGGTATCTGCTATAATCCTAACTCTCAGAAGCAGAGGTAGGAGTCTATTAGGAGAGTCCA